AGTCAGTGTTTGTTAACCGAAAACAGCAAATTAGTCAGTCAGTCGTCTTAGTCAGTCAGCAGAAGCTCACCAATGTGCACAGAGGCGTGTGAACAATTCAGACTTTGGAATATCTGAATAGTTTCTAACATTTAAAACTAAACTGAATTTTGTGTGGCCTCCAATTTTCAGGCTGCATTCAATTTGCGTACAACTGAGGGGTACAGAAGAAATTAGGAGCCTTCACATTCCAGCTGCTGAGAATTTCAGGAGATAACTTGTTTACTTTTTCCAAGCGGTGTAAAAAACCCATCTGATAGTCGAGTTAAGGACTACACATGTACACAAAAATAAATAAACGTTCGACTGGATTGAAACTGAGCTAGATAGATGTGGAAGACAATCTTTATTCATCTGCATGTGGCTTTGGTGTGTTAGTAGACCGTTTTTCAATTAGATCAGTGGTGTTTAGAGTGCATAGTGCTGCAGTGCGTGCAAGCGGCACCTGCAAACAGACGCTTAGACTGGATTATTAAAATCAGATGGTCCTAATGTGCCTGCTAACTAAACTACAATGGCAGGATCAGGTGACCACAACAAGCAAATATCCCAATTTTAATAATCAGCCCATATGCAATGGTGACCTATGACAGTGCCTGAATGTCTGGGGTTTGTTTGGTTGTTTTAAAGCAGACACTTTCAATTTCTCCCTCACAGTATAAGAACAAAACACCATTATTTAATTTCTCTTCTAATAAAGCAGAAATGATAACCTAGCCTTAATACTTCAATTCAGTAAACATTTTTATAAATTATGGGACTTGATAGAAAGGATACTGCTCCAGGTAGGAAGGAACACACACCACTTCTTTGCGGAAGTCCACTGGACACGAGAGCCTTCCCAGCCGTTCCTCAAACAGATTCAGTGCCTCAGTCAGATTTGCGCTGTTGCCCTGATGGCCAGTAGCAGAAAAGATTCATGAGACTCATACAGATAAATAATTAGGCCCTGACACAGTAGAAATTATGCGTTCTAATGCTTGGTCATTGTTTCCCCGTTATCCACTTTCTCACAGCATGAAGTCTTTCAAATAAATTAATATTTAGTTCACCTTTAAAAACAGTATTGACAAAATCCCCCAATGATGAATTGTATGGTAAATTAGGAGCAGACTCACCTGTGTGAAATACTTCCCACTGGGATGCAGCACTTTTATAGATAGATCTAAAATGAGACGCAGGAACTCCCACGTAGAGTCTACAGAAACCAGACAGCATGTGACAAGTTAAACATTTCTTCACACTGCACCTGTGTGCCACCTTTCCTGATGTATGGCTATTGTTATCAATACCTTCTTCTGGCAAGGTGGATATTGGGATTGCAGTGAGGTCATTAATAACATAATCAAATGTCCTTCCTTCCTGGACATACTTCTTCAGCAAGGGAACACAGTCCTGAATTAATATCTGCAATCCATGAGACGAGGACATTATTCAAAATGCATCTTCAATTTACCCCTGCTTCAAAACTCTTGTCACTGCCTATTGCTGCTTTAAAAATAAATATTAATAACGCACACTAAGATTAAAGACTATGCAAGCAACACGTTTGTGCATGGTATAGTCATACAGAAAATACATTTTGAGCAAATGCGCACACACAAAAAAACAAAACAAAAACCAATTCAGCACTCACTTGGTAACAGTCTCCCTTCAGGTTATCCAGGATATCACCACAAGTCTTCCTCATGTATTTTTTGCACCCATCTATCACCTTCTGGTCAATGTAGAAGCTTTATTAAGGAACAGTCAGATGCACACACAGAATTACACTGAGAATAATGCAAATCTAAGCTCCTTGAGGTAGCCGCTGTTGTGATTTGGAGTGATCTAAAAAAAGTGAATGTTTGCTTTAATATGAACAAAGTCACTCAAATAAAAGCCCAGTAAAGGATATCTCCACCATGGTGATCATCTTTGGCTTTTGTTTGACCAACTCAGCAAGTATTCCTCCATCACCTCCTCCTAAAATCAATACTTCTTTTCCAGCGTAGTTTTCTTTTCCACTGCCTGTGATGGCCTGGGTGTAGGCAGAGTCACTCTCTGCAAGGTCTGCAAGAAAAATTTGTTTTTAAAGGCAAAACAAATAATTCTTATTAGACTGAATCTACTACGTTAAACAGTCATTTTGAAAAAACAAAATCTTGTGTGCAAGCAACATGCCATGATTTATATACTTACTAACGTCTCCATCCAGAACTAGAATATTCCCATACTGCTGTGAGTGCAAAATCTTTATGTTTTGGTATTCAGAATCCTCTTCATACACCACCTTGTCAATGTCATACTCAATTAGTCTGCCATCGGCTGTGGGCCAGTAGCGGTCAACTTTTGCTCCTCGCAAAAGGGCTGGAAGCCTTTTGGGAGGTGGGGGGGGATAAATAATACTGCACCATGAAGTACGATACATTTACGAGAACAATATAGTGATACTTACTTTTTAATCCTTGTAATATTGCCATTTAAGAGAACTTTTAGCTTATTTTCCAGTGCATTCAAAAGCTGTGGAGTAAGAACAGATGCAGCTTAAATGCCACTTTCACCAAATTTGTGAAAGGTTTCATATTGCTACACAGACAACCCTAACGCAAAACACATAGGGAGTAAACAACACCATAGTTGGTGTAATTTAACCCTCCATGTATGCACTAGCATTTAGGGATGTGAAAGTGTTTAAATACAGGAAGCCAGTACACAGACAGTAACTGTAAGCATCTTTTGACAGGCACTAAAGAGGCCTAAGGTCAAAAAGGGTTGGGTTATCATTATATAGTCCCAGAGATGTTTAACCTTATTAGTTTCAATGTTGGTAAAAACAAGAGCCCTGTGTATGCTCTTACGTTGTCTAGCTGTGCAATGTCGTCATCTTCGTAACACTGCAAATCAACTGTGACCAGCCCCTGGGAGTGCACACGCAGGACAACAAACCTGAGAATTGATGTAGGAAAGAGAAAACGATGCAAAACAAAGTTAGAGGAACACTAAACTAAAAACAAAAAAAAGACACCCAATGTGTGCAACGCGAACCCTCAGAGGAAGCTGTGAAAAGTTCCTCTGTTGCAAAGAAGTTTGAAGGGTAATATTTTTAAAGTTTGAAGAATTAACTGAAACATTCCTGCAATGCTGTCCAACTAGAAGCATGCTCAGGATTTATCAGGAAGTCCATCAAGAAGCCGTACACATTGTTTAGAGAGTCAGACAACAGAAGTTTTAGACCTCCCCAAAGACCCAAATTTGGTAAAAACACATCCTGGCTTTGGGATAATTAGTACACTTATTTATTAGGGGTGCAACGATACACAAAATTCACAGTACGGTTCGATATTTTTTTCGATACAAAAAAAAAAAAAAAA